AATGGGGAAGAGTGTGATCCTGAGAAACCTAATCATAGTGCAGGAGGGACTGTGGCCAGCATCTTCATGTGATACTTAAAAGTGGTGAGCCATAAAAATCCTGCCCAAATGAGAAGGTAAGGTTTCAGAGACAAAACTCCCATTGATTTTCCCTTTTTGACGAGGTACTCAGTAGGCCTAGTTCTGGTACAAATCCTGAGCGATTCCAGCAGTTACTGTTCAGAGTAGCTGGGGAGCATTTGGTCCCTGTCCTTGTTCTCAGGTTCCACGCCAAACAGGGGACTTCCTGGACCTGATGATTAATGCCACTCAACAACATTCAGTTCCTTTTTTTTTTTTTTTTTTTTTTTTTTTAAACAACAACAACAACAACAACAACAAAAATCTCCTTGGATAAGGACAAGGAGTGATTTGAAATTATAGGGACTCTTGTGTGAATTTTTCCATTTCTTTCCGTTATAAAGAAAGAAGTTGTTAAGGGACCTAATGTTGGTTAAAAAAATCTTGTGCTCAGCCTTTTTCCAGAAATTAATACAATTATTGACCTTGGCTCAAAGAAGATAGAGTTTGAATTTTCACTGCTGCATTTTTTCTTTTGAAGGTAGATGGTCCTTTTGAAGTATTCAATGTTGGCCTTTCAAAACTTTACAACATTGTATGTTTATCAGAAGGATCAAAGAAGGTAGGAGATTTAATTGTCTCAAAAACTGCATGTATCAAGAGGAAGCACCATGTTTTGGTTGCTAGTACAGCCGAGGGACTCTATAAAACCTTTGTCTGTAATGCAGCAGTTGACAGTATCACTCATCATGAGTTTATTTTAATTTAAGAAAATCACACCAGTGTGATTACTCTGAAGTCAGGAAGTGGTTGTGACCCTGGTGATGTTAGCCAGTGTCTGCAGAAGAAGGGCAGTGCATCCTTCCCATCCAGTCCCAGACGTCACTGAGAGGGGCTGTCCTTAGGTGCTGAGAGATCCAGATGTAGCTGGGAGGTCTGGAAAGCTGATACCCATCTGTCTCTCAAGACACTTGGTAAACTGATTAATGCACCAAGTTATATTCAGATTTTTTTTCAGCTGGTCAGATCTTGGGTACCTTTCAAGTCCTTGACTTTAATTTTGGGTGAGGTCTAAACATTGTTTCATTGCCTATCCCACATATGGCTCTAGAGCAAATATTTTTCATGCAGGATCCTGATTTGTTTCATGCATATTGAGTCCTTTGCTTTTATGTTGAGACTGATCAGAAGCCAATTGCAGAGGTGGTCTGGATGCCTACAGCAAGCTCAGATCAGACCCCTTATGTTGGGTCACTCAAGCCAGTAGACAGCTCTGTCATTCAGGCACTTAATTATGAACTGAATGTTCACTTGACCTCTTACATTATCATTTCATTAATGAACCAAAACTTCAGAAGAGTGACTGACTGCAAGCTGCTGCAGTTTGGGCTCTTCAAGCCAAAGTTTCTACTCATTTCGTTTATCACACTATTGATCAGTTTTGGACCCGAAACAGGAGCTGCATGGAAAACTAAGCTGCTTAATGTGCTAATATGATTTCCATGTGACAGAAAGATTGGTGTGGGGTGCCCACATCATATTGGCTTGCCAGTCCTGCTACACGTGTGTTCTTGCATGCAGCTGTTACAGATGTGGAAGTAGCATTTAATAACTGTGATTTTACAGACAAGGTTCAAGCTTGAGTTCTGTTACCCAGATAATACTGATGTCCATAGGCTTTCTTTCCCACTGTTTTGCATTTGTCTTGACTAAAACTTAAATGTGTTCTTAGTACAGTCTAGCAGGGATTTATTTCTAATTCTTTAGTATTTGAGTGTCTGATGGTTTTGATGTATTTCTCTAGACACCCTTATGTTAGGGTTGGGGATCAGAAGCACATGAAAGCCAGAGGATTTATTTCAGTTATCCAGACAGCTTAATGACATACTTTTCTGTGTGTGAACATGGAAAGTTTTCTGGAACAGGGACAGAACACTGAATAGGCCTTGAACCTTGGTATTCTCTCTTCAAGGTGACCATTGTAACTAGCTGACTACATTTCTCTGTTCACACCTTTTTCTCTCCTTCACCATCCAACAGCAAAAGCTAACAATATCATGTAACAATTCACATGAACTGTAATACATATATGCTGCCTTCTCTATTGCAAACTTTTACAAACCTAGCTTTTGACCTGGCATGTGGTGTTCCCATGTTTGATGGCAGGTGGTTTCCTTCTGGATTTGCTCGTGCTTGTTGGTGTTCTTTCCAGCACACATCACTTGGTGTGAAGGCTTACTGAGTGCAATCAGGCTTCATTTTAGCTCGGTTTAGGTGGTTTGTGGGTTTTTTTTAATTCAAGAAGAACATAATGTTTGTGGACTGGAATCAACCTGGTTTAGTCTCCCTATTTGTGAAGATGTATTTTTTTGAAATCTCTTGTTGACTGTCTTTGAGTTACTGCTTATCATCTTCAGATAAAACCTTTTTTCTCCAAGTGATTTGGAGCTGTGCTCCCTCTGTCTCTTCTTACTATGCTTTCAGTTCTCTAAGTTTGTTCCAGGAGTTTGGTTTGGTTTGAGTATGCATTGCTAGAAAGGAGATAAAGTGGAGCTGGGGAAGGAAGAAAATTTGCTACTAGAAGCTGGAAGAGGGTAATTCATGGTGAACATCTCCAGGAACTATAATTTGTTTTCTTTGAGAAATGTATGCTAATAAAAGCTTCCTGTTTGCACGCATACATGCATCAGATTAAATTTTATCTTGGCCTGAACTTGCTGTCAAATCATGCTCTTCAGTTCAGTTCTCAGAATCATCCAAATGTTATTTTAACAGAGAGCAGTGCTATATCCACTGCCCTGAAACCCTGTCTCCTCCGTGCACGGGTCTGAAAGAGCTCGGTGAGGTAGAGAGGAAGAACAAGGGAGCGCTTGCTTAGGGCATGGATGAGATATAATTATCTTGCCTGAATGTAGAGAGATACCTACCTAAAGATGTCTGTCTGCCCTGGATGATTGTAAGGGTATGTTCTGCAAGAGAAGGAAATCAGAGAGTTAACAGAAACAAAATTAGAAATAGGAGAGCAATCAGATTCTGTTTTTCCTTGCTGCAAAGGTCATAATTTTATTAATTGCTTCACCTTGAAATGTAGTTTATAATGGAAGCTCTGTGATACCTGAGAGTGTAAACTGCCTTCACTTGAAGCCAGCTGAAGCCGGTGTCTTGTGGAGTTACAGCCTGATAAATAAGCCATTCTGACCTGTGTCTGGAAGACTCCTTTTATTCTTTGTTTTCTTTTCCCAGTTTCTCAAGCCTCTTGGTATCTGTCTGATGATCTCTATGTAGGCTTGGCTTCGTGGCATGAGCAGAGGAAAGCTTTCTGTTTAGTCTCATGATTCTTAGAGATGAGTTATTAATACTTAAAGGAATGAATAGATGACAGGTGCTTTGCTGAGCACTTTCCCCCCACTTTCTCAATCTTTCCTCCCACTGGAGCATGGGAAGTGCTGAGACCTGGTAACTTCTGAAATAGCCTCGAGCCTTCCCTGGGCAGGGCCTCCCCACTGTGCACGGGCACTGACTTGAGATTGGCATGTGTGTAGGAGCTGACTGACCCATTGCTTAAGGCTTCTTTGGGAACCCCAAAGAACAATAATATCCTGTTGACTAGGATTTTACTATTTATATCCATCAGCTGAGTAGCCGCCTCCTCTGCCTGCTCCCTAGTTACCAGTCTCTAAATTGCTCTTTGGACCATGTTGTCTGTTGCTTGGTTGATGGTATGATTTCTAATTTCAAGATGAATTTGCTTGAGACACTTAAAAGGGCAAATGAATTAATAAAGAAAGGCGTCAGCTTTTCTTGCTTTGTTAACCTGTTAGCTTTTTGGACATCAGGCAAAAAAACTGGAAGAAAGCTAACCTAAAAATAAGAGGTATCATTAGAAAGCAGTACAAACCTATAGTAATGCAAAGAGGGAAACAATTAGATCCCTCATAGGTATGTTTGTGGAGAAGTGCTGACATACACTGGTCATATTAAAGACTGAATTTTGCCACCCACATACTCTCTCAGCAGTTCGTGCCTTTCTTTTTTCTTTTTTTCCCCCTCCATTTTTTTCTGCAGCAGATTTTCAATCCACTTGAGTAGCAAAGGTGTCATCTTCTTCCAGAAAAACCCTTCCCTGGCTTTGAAACATAGGGAAAAAAATGTCAAATTTAGCCTGGTATTTTCTAGGCTGCTTTTTTAAAGGTGAGCCTTTTAAGAGAGACTGCACAAATTACTTTGAAGAGAAAAAATACAGTCAAACCTGTGGGAGTCTGCTAGGGTGAAGTGAAAAGAAAGCAATTATTTCACTGCGAGCTTTTATGAAGATTTTTGAGGCTCCTATCAGAAATGAAAGTATGTTAATAATGGGACTTAGTTATAAAGCCCAATTGCTTTGGCTCCAATATGGATAAACCCTGTCACAGAGGGAGGGGGTTAAACCTGATCTGAATCAGAAGCAGCCACTGTTCCTCGTTGGAGCTATTTTTAACTGTATGAACATGGATCACATAGTTCCCTAGTTTGGATTTGGTGCCATCCTGCATGACCAGAGACCAGGTCTTTTCTAAAGACCTTGCTAGTGTATCCAGCAGGGAAGCACCACATAGCTCTTGGCTCCCTGGTTCCTTCTCCGCACTGTGGTTCTGCACAGCTCTCCTTGCCTGCCTTTTGATGTTTTCTAGTTCATATACATCTTCCTTGTTAAAAGTACTGCAAACAAAATACAGGGCATGTTCAGCAGTTAAAAGTGAACTGGGAATACTCGGAGAAACAAGTATATTTTCTGAAACCATTTTTTAATTATAGTGAAAGCTTTGTGCTCATAGAAAGTTTGGGGTATTTCTGGTACCATCTGGTTACCTAAGCTTAGACAACAAATCACTTCTGACATAATGACGACAGTGTATAATACTGTGTTCTTCTAACCCATGTCTCATTAATGTGGAAGCACATGGATTTTCCTGCAAAATGTTGATTCACCATCTGTGCTAGTATTCGTTCTGTGAAGTGAAAGACTGCCCTTTGTGTTGCGATTGCAGTGGACCCTTTCTTCTTTTACTGACTTCTCTCTCTTGGACCAAATGGGTAGGTGACAGAACAAAATAAAACTACACCAAAGAGTACTTACAGCTAATGCTTATTTACCTTACTTCCAATGTGGGAGCTATCAAAATTTATTAGAGGTGGAACTCTCAAGTTTAAGTGACATTTTTCTGTTGTTTTCACTTTCCCTTTCCCATGCTTTGACTTTAATTTGCTTATTTGGGTTGTAAACCCCCAGTTTTGAGGAAACTGTGAATTCCTTGTATGCCTCTGGTAGATGTCAAAACCTAAATCAGAGACTGTGTAAAGGACAGTAACATTGCTAGAGTTAAAATGGTATAGGTAGATTTAAAATGGTGTAGGTGAGAGTTGCCCATTGAATGGATTGCAGCTTGGTTTGAGTCATGTTGCACCTCAATTATAAAGTATCTTAGAGGTTATTTACCTTCAGGGCTAGGCATTAGCATTTTGAGATTGATCTAAGTCTGGAGATCCTCAGCTTCATTGTACTTCCCCAACTTTTGAATTACTCTTTAAATTCTTCTGCTTTCAGTGTGAGACCTTTCATGTTTACAGATTAATAGTTACGGCGTTTCAAAGCAATCTGTCTCTTCACCATCACGTGAAGTATCACAAAAAAGGTGTTTTACTTGCGCTAAAAATTTATTCCACTATCATATAATTGGTAGCTTCATTCATAGACACAAGCCAGTACTGATGGTTTCCAGATGAAACCCATCAAACCCAGGGATCTTTAACCATCTTATTTTTTCTTCATTTCTCTTGAGTCCTTTTGCTTTTTAATGTTCTTGACCCTGAGAAATAGGTGGAACATCTTGAAGTAAGTAAATAAGTATATTAGCAGTAAAAATTTAATCTCCTTCAGTAAATTCATCAATACAATATGACTTACAGTTAAGTCAATTAAGGGGCATATTTTTTCTTTCACTTTCAGTAGTTTTATTTCTGCAACCTTGCGGAGATAAGCTGCTTTATGAAATATACTGATGTGCATTTTATTAGTGAGTTTTTAGGGTAATTTTGATACATCAGTAAATAATACCAAATAATACCGAAGGGGAAGGAAAGGGTCTATAAAGAGATTCTTTCTGATGTGTTGTGACAAGGGATGCAGAGTATCAGTCACAGGTTAGACTTCTCTAAGGACACTGCTGGGGAAGACAGTTATGACAGGACAGCAAGGAGAAGAGTGGCTGGAGCCATATAAGCTGGCAGAGCAGGAAGGCTCTGATCCCCGTGCTTTAAAGGCAAGTCCATCACAGTGAATGGCTTGAACTGGATTCAGTAACAAATTGGAAACAGCAATAGTAAAGCCTTTCTTAGCTCCCTGAGGTGAGCTTCTGGTGGGGTCTAACAAAGGAGAAGCAGCAGTGACTGGCAGTGGTCAGCAGCGTGTTATCGGGCACTTGGCTGGAATACCATTTTCTAAAATGAGAGACTGAATAGGAGAGCCTTGAACATGTAGATAGATAAAAACCTACAATTTGCCCGCTGGGATGAGAAAATCCAAGGGTGTTGACTGGGGACATAGAGGGGAAGGTGGTTATGGCATAGGAACCTGAAAGATATTTTGATGCATTTTCGTGACCTAGATCCATCAAATTATGCACCTGCGCAACCCTTTAACTATAAGCTGTTACCCTTGACTTCATCCTCCCTACTTGTCATATTAATATCTTTGCCTGCAACTGGGATCTGATCTTGCACCCACTGAATTTTTTGCCATTGAGTTCAGTGGGGCTAAATCTGGCTACTGCAGTGGAGGAGCTGCTCATCTCTGCCAGTCTCATGTGCACGGAGTTGCATGCTGAGGCTCTAAGCACACAGTGAGGGTCCTCCAAGGGCTACAGTATGGCTGCAGGCAGTTTATATAAATATATCTGCCAGCAGTCCAAAAACCTGACTGTAGAGAAATACATGCCAGAATTAAATCCAGATTCCCAGAGCAGCCTGATATCCCATGCACTTGTCCTTGGTTGGCATGTTGTCAGATGAGCAAGCAGCACATCTGTGCAAGAGGGGTGATGTGGAACCCCTAGGTAGATGTTACAACAGCTTTATGTGTATATTTGCCTAGGTGTAGGAGTCTTTATTATGGCTTCTGGCCTACTTCTCAGCAAAGCAATTAGCAAGTCCGAAAGGTCTTGCCTCAAGGCTCTCACAAGCCATGAATTATGCATTTAATTCTGTATCTCGCTTTCTATTTCTCTAACATGCTCTTTCAGAAGATTGTGTAATGTCTTATTTTCCCTGACATAAAAAATTGACAGTCTGGTGCCCAGAGGAGGGGAACAGGAAAGCCTTTTCGTCATCTCTTCACAACATTTAACTTTTTTTTTTTTTTCAGGTTGTGTTTATGAAATAAAATGCTTGTTGCCAGACAATAATATCTTTAGGCTATTCAGTACATGCCCTGATGAGAGTCCTGAGAGCCATAGCAATCTGCTGGGCATTCAGCAGCAACAGCTGCTGCCTGCCTGATACCATTAAAACACAGATTTAGTATTTATTTACTGTACTGCAAAGCAATGAGCCTGGCCACTGCCACTCAGATATAGTGTAGCTAAGAAATAATGTAGCATGGGTCTACATGAGCACACTCAAAAGTTAATCCAAATTAACTTTCTTGAAAGTTGTTTAATAAACCACTCTGGAGGCTGCTGTGATGTGATGGTTCCTCTTCAGAACAAAGGTGGCTCTACCTCAGCTGTTTCTAGTTAAGTGTAAACTGAACTAAGGATGCTTTTCTTCCTCTGCTGGTGTTTTACTTGAGACAGGCTGTTGGCAGCACAGGTCTATTGCTGCCTGTTTGACCAAAGTCCTGGCAGCAGAGGTGGATGCAGAGCAAGCAGTGAGGGTGGCAGAGGAGAGGACCCTGACCTCTGTGTTCAGATGGTCAGGCCAAACATGTGCTTTGCACTGGGGTCAATATGTTTGGAGCTGAGATCAGTCACGGCTGCTGGTGCTGGAGGCTGTGCTGGGAAAGGCAGGCAGAGGAGCAGTTTAGCTGGAAAGGCTGAACAACAGAGCCCTGTCCTGCCAGAGCGGTGGGGCTGAGGCTTATTTGTGTGTTATTCTGGCTTTTGCTTTTGTCATCGCCTTGAGGCAGTGAGGAGGAGTTATGTGGCTGCTCTAAACAAAAATAGGCTAGGAAAGAAATTCATGAGTATTTCTCTGCATTTCTGTCTCAACAAGAAGCTCACTGGGGATGCCTGGGCTCTATTTAATAACAAGGATGCTGAAAAAGGGCCACATCTGTGTGTGTGTGTTTATGTGCAGCTGACAAGGCACGGTTACATACCTTAGTGTGCTTGGTTCCTGGAAGCAGTTTATTAGTTGTCTCCAGACTTTGGGATGCTTCCCTAAACCCTCCTGGGTATCCCTATACAGCCCCATGGCTATACATTACCTGCTCATCTGCTGATCGTGGGATACAATTATTCCTCTAGCCTTGCAGAAAATGCTCTCCTAATTCAGTGCTGTGACAGTGAATGTGGAATGAAAAATGGCTTTCAGCCACTTCAGGAGCTTGCTGCTGCTGCCGCCTCTTAGGAGTCCCCGAGGAATCCTGCACGCCTGTGAAGGAGCCAGCTCGTCTCTCAGATCAGTTATTTGGGATACAGACCCACCCACACTAGCGATGGTAATTCAGGGCAGTGTCAGCTGAGAGGTAATTTGGTCCCAAGGCCCATCGCTTTGCTGCTGGGGATTCTCTGCGGATGCTGGGATTGCAGCATGTGGGGGTGGAGGAACTCGTAGATCCAGTGCCCACGCTGGCAAAATTATACAAGCTTCATTTCCAGTACTGGTTTCCTGTGCTTTCTTTGCCCTTCTGCACTGAAAATCTTGTTTAGTTACAAAAGTCAAGTATAAACTGAGGCTGGAAGTCAGAGACTTCCAGCAAATATTAAATGTAAGTGTTAAGATTGAGAAACATTTGGCTAGTGAAGTTGCTCCCATGATGTAAGCAAGGCAAGGTTTGTAGGGAAAGGTAATGTCTTTTATTAGACTGGCTGATAAACTGCTTTGTTGTTTCTCCAACTCCTGTTTGTTGGCCTAATAAAAGCTACTACCTCACCTCAGACTTTTTTTGTGGCATGCTTATCTGAGTAGTAGAAATCAATGAAGTTAGCCTAGTGCAAGTGGTCATGCTTTTAGACTGCAAACTATGAAACAAACAAATTCAAGGTTAATTTGTATAAATACAGATTATTTATTGCATTCCTTTTGTTGCTTTTGTTCTCTAATTTGTGGCCATTGAGAAAAAAATATTTTCTTTCATTTATAAAGAGTAATCTCTTGGAAAATACATCATTGCTTCCATAGCATGACTACAAATAAACAAGATTACAGCAGTGACTGACTAAGATGACAGGTAACCAAAAAGCACAGCCTGACTGCAGTTGAAAAATGTGAAATTTGACAGATAGCAAATGGTTTAAACTAAAATGGTAGTCAGGAGAACATTGTTTATCTATACTGCCATAAACTCAGTTTTCCAGGGTCTGCCTGGTCCCTCAACAGTCACCCAGCACTGTTTCATGATAAAAAGCAATGCATAAAATGCACATACCCAGTCTGCAGTCTTGTTAGTAATTCCAGCATATATAATGTATCAAAACAAGAAGTTTCATTGCTTAAAATGTAAATATTACAATTCATACATACGTTTTCCCTGGCTTATTTGACTGTGTAGGGCGAGGCCTATTTGAAGTTCATCCTACCTTAGTTTACCTATGCATGGAAAGGGCTTGAGGAGTACTTCCAAGGAGGGGATATGAGCAAAGGCTGAGAGATGCCAGAGTGTTTTCCAAGCCTTCAACAGGTTGTTCCAGGATCAGAAGTTCCCAGGAGCAGCCACAGCACTGAATTCACCTTTTCTGTTCTTGTCGTGGCTAGTAAAGCAAAGTGGAAATGTGCTTTAATTTACTCAACCAAGATTCGATTTACTAATGAGAGTGCCACATTTGGGAGAGCTTTGATGTAAACAGCAGGGAGGGTGTTTGGACTGCTCGCTTCGA